TGACCACGGAGCCTGTAACGGCGAAGTGGGAGCACGGAGTGGACGTCCGTGTGACGGAGTGGAGCAGCACTGCGTGAGGCAGGTCTTCCATCACAGCGCTGTTCTATAAAATGACACGATGAAACCTCACCGTCCGCTCCGTGCTCACGGCAGCGCACGCCCTGAAAGATCCGAAACCTAAAGGAATTGTACTATCACAAATAAATAGTGGTGAAATCGTGCATATCCCGTTCAAAAAGAGTTTTACTTAATAGTAATTTTTTGGCCGTATTGGAGATCGCGGCCTCGACCATCGCGTTCAAACGCGCCGTGGGTGAATATGTGTAGCTATCTTTCTATTTCATATTATTATATTATGCTTCGCTGCTCAATTCTCGCGATTAATATATATCGTATGATTGTTCAAAGCGAGAATTTCAAAAGTTTTTTTGACACCTCCTAACATTTTCAGTGCGCGCCTACTTGAATGTCATTATCTGTTTTCGTGCTTCGGCCGGCATAATGTTTTTTTTATTTAAGCTTTTATGTGATAGTATAACTGTTTTGTATATTTAAAGTGTAAAAAGAAGTGTATACAGGACTTCACATACTTAAATATTTGACGACCTCCTTGGTCGAGTGGTTTGTACGCCGGGTTTCATGGTGTCGCCGACTCGAGAGGTCCCGGATTCGAATCCCGGTGGGGGCAGATGTTTGTGTGATAAATACGAGCATTTGTACTTCAGTCATGGATGTTTCATATGTATTTCTAAATAAAAATATACTTATATATGTACAGTATATGTATTCTATCCGTTACCCTAGTATCCCATAACACAAGCCTTACAGTGCTTACTTTGGGGCTAGGCTAATTGGTGTGAGTGTTGGAAATATTTATTTATTTATAGTATAGATTTGCGCAAGATGGAAAGTAAAAACCAAAAACAAGTTGGTTAGATTCACACTCACATGTACATTAGATAAATCTTATCAAATGTAAGATTAAGGCGAGATTTAAATTAAACATTACAACATTAAGTTTGGTTGTTCGATGTTTAATTTGTGTTTTTGAATTTTTATTTTGTAAGTGTCGAAGAAAACCTTGAATCAAATCATAGTCATACTTTTTGTCGTGAAAATACATCTTTAAATGTCTGAAATAAGGGGTGAAATTTTGTGCGTAAAACGATTTTATTTTACGCAGAAAGTAGTCGAGCTCACCCACTTGTACTAATTTGTCCAGACATTATAAGTATAGTATATAAAGTAGGTAGGACGAAAGGAAATCTACACTGCTTTTAGTTATACAAACAATAAGCGGCCGCCGTCAAATTCTGATATTCTACACCTTGTTTAACCGTAAAGGATATTGTTTACTTACTCTCCAGTGAAAGGTCCCAAGTTATTTGCTACATGACGACAAATTCAACAACCCTGTGCGACACGAATGGTTGAAAAAACCGACTAAGCCGCAGTGTCACAGTTTTAGTTGGACACCACTGCCATGAGCAATCAGTGGATATGGAATAAGAAGATTCGGCCATATAACACACTACGCGTGTGCGGATTGGTGAATGCTTAGGACCAGAGGCCCAATCACGAATTTTTGACAGCTCTGTAACATATCGCATCGTCAAAGTTTCTATCAGACTGCAGAATCAGATTAGCCTTACATAAGAATTTTCCACCTCGCTGTCTTTGAAGCCTGATTTAGCGAAAGTAGACCTTAATGGTCTATTTTCTTTAATGATCATACAAGCTGACTGTATGACGCATTCTTGAGGGCTATTTAGGAACCATGAAGGCACCTGTTTAGATTTTTATTTTAAAGTTGAATATTGAAGCCATAGTTCACTGAACGTATTTTTTTTACTTAAGATCAACATTTTTATAACTTTCATCAAAGTTACAAAGCTTATTATTTTATGCATAATAGTACAACTCATGAGGATTCAGTTGCAAAAAAAATACGAATAAATCTTCTACGTTTTTTGGAATTTCTTTAAGTTTGTCAGGTCGTAAATTCAGAAAAAAACTCATAATTAGAAAACTATAAAAAGTCCCGGATCATACATGGGGTGATTCGGATAACCCCCGGTACGAGTGACTTAAATTTTTTTTTGGACTTCAGTTTTCCAGCCACCTTGTATATAATTATATATCATATATACATATACATCTCTCTCTTTTGGTCACCCATCCCATGACCGGCCATTATGAATGGTGCTTAACTTCCACGATCGCAGACCGCACGCTCTTATCACTGGGCAATGGAGTTCCTTTCATTAGTTCCGCTAGGCCTGCCGAGATATAATAGACGTGTTGATTTTTATACAAGTTTCACGAATACCGCAAAATCAGACACGTCACCTAAATTTGATGCTTCACTAAGTCTCGCGTTGCCCCATTCTATTGTTATTGTAACGAAAGTAACAGCATCAACTTTCATCAAACTTAAATGTCAATGAAAGTCTTTCAGTGTGAGATAGTTGAAGAACATGCAACTCAATCGCAACACACCACGACAATGATTCGGTAAAAAGGTGAAGATCTCCACAACCGATTGTGATGGATCCTAAGGATGGTTCACATATAGCAGCAATAAATAAATAAAATAAATAAATATTTCCAACACGCACACTTATTAGCCTAGCCCCAAAGTAAGCACTATAAGGCTTGTGTTATGGGTTACTAGGGTAACGGATAGAATACATATACTGTACATATATAAGTATATTTATATAGAAATACATATTGAACATCCATGACTGGAGTACAAATGCTCGTATTCATCACACAAACATCTGTCCCCACCGAGATTTGAAACCGGGACCTCTCGAGTCAGCGACACCATGTAACCTGGCGAACAAACCACTCGGCCACAGAGGTTGTCGTAATAAGCTTATCTATTTTATTTCGTGTCGACTAGTTTCAATCAATTCTTCTCTTCTATGGAGGGAGTCGATTGAGACCTGTCTCTACCAGACCAGACAGTAAGGTTGCCAGGTAGCCAAGACCAAGAGCATAATGTCCCAGGTCCCGGGAAAATGTAATACCAGTTTTTATTAACAATGTTACTATAAATACACTTAAGTTCAGGTACGAGGAGTGGCAGAAGCCTTTGAAGGCATTTGTTATTGACATATGTATATTAGTTAGTTCTGGGGAGGGGGGTAGGGTAATAAGTTTACCATGTTAAAAGAAGAAGTTGACTTTAAATGCATAATTTCAGTTGCTTACCTTCCTTTTAGCAAAAGACATCTAGGCGATGGACTGTCCCTGTTGTTTGTTTGGATAGAAGCGCCTATGCAGACGGGAAAGTAATTTAAAAATGGTCTTCTCCAGGGAATCTCAGCACTACCTTTTGGTTATTTTGGTGTTTCTATTGAACCAATAATATTGATTATTAGTACCAGTACCATATAGTTGATGCCAGATGCTGGCTCGCCCCTCGCAGGTAGGTGTGGGTTTATAGTAATATTGTGAAAAAAACTGGTGTTTGGGGATACCGGGACAATAAGGTCTAATTACTGGACAACGGACAAGCCGCTAAATTCGGGGACAATCCCGGATTTCCCGGCCATCTGGTAACCCTAGCCTCAAATGACATATGCTACTCTTTTTACGTCATAGAGGAGCAACCAGTGTCCAATATGACGTCATTGAGGTGTGGTAATGGGACTAATATTCATTATATACTAATGAATGATTGTCGCATTCGCATGCTAGCTAAAGCAGCCACGATACACAAGGTAGAATAACATTGTAGTCTAATCTAACTTTGCTCTGCAGTTATCTTTTTTTAAGCATTTAACTGCTAGATGATTAAATCTAAAGAAAAGTTTACTAGAAAAAATTGTGGATTACCTACAATCCGAAGAAATGGCGCTGCCTTGCAGCCTAAGGCTAGAGAAAATTCGACATGGCCGTCAGGGCCGCGTAGCATAATGGTCAGTGCATTTGCCCGGATATTGAAGGGTGCTGGTTCGAGTTCCGTCTGCTGCCTGGTCCGCGTGGATTTTTTTCTAGTAAACTTTTCTTTGATTTGCTCTACAGTTTTCTTTCAGAATAATATCTTTTAATATACAAATAGTTTTAGAAACAGTAAACCAGATGCCGTCTTCTCTATGTTTCTGTATCTGTACTATATCACTTGTTTTATACCATACCTTGTATGTTGCCTTGTCCTAGTTTTTCTTGCCATAACACTGTTAACATGTCGTGACAAGACCGCATTAGAATTTCTCTTTTTACGCTTTTAATGAGTACCTTTTACGTCAACAGGATTTTTTATAGGAAAGTCTTTCTGTTTGTTAGTCTGTTGATGCTTCTATTTCTACGTTCACTGCATAAGTCTTGCAAATATAACTTCCATTTTCATCAGACCCACCATATACGGAAACTTAATTTAAACCTTAGTAATATTCGACACGGTCGTTAGGGCCGCGGTGGCGTAATGGTCAGTGCTTTCGCCCGGATAGCGAAGAGTGCGGGTTCGAGTCTCGTCTGCTACCTGGTCCGCATGGAACTTTTTCTATTAAATTTTTGCTTTTGATCTAAATATCTAGCAGTTAAATGGTTAAAACAATTAAAATATAACTAAAACATTAACATAAAAAATTGTACATGTGCATGTGAACCCTGAATACATTTAACTCTATTTTTTTGCATCTTGTTATAAGGAGAAACACATTTCTTCTGAAGGACGAATGAATTTGTGAATAACGAATTTTAATATCGTCAATGACGATTTGAAAATGGTTTAATGCAATTTGGGCCAGATTTTGACATTCGATTCTTTAATCTAAATCTAGATGACCTTATTTATGAAGTACTCGTAAGTCCTTAGCCTCTATAAAGCTTGAAAAAATAGACTGATTTAATACCATGATCAGCCAATCTTTTTGGTTGTGGTTGGTGAATAGTTAGAAAAAACGAGGGTAGTAGAAATCTGTTGGTACAACTAACATTTACAATTCCAGTCAATTAGAGAGTATAAGCAGAAGTTCACCCCCCTAATATGGCAACACATTTCACAGTCATTTATCGAGCCCGTTCAATCATCTTGTTTTAGTAGTGAAAACGGCTAAAGGCGAGGGGAACGTGGCTTACCTTCTATTTTCGGACACGCATTTCCAGTCCAGTCGATGTCCCGTGCGAGGCGCGCGCCGGCAAAGCCGTGAATCGGAACGCGAATTCGAAATTTAAATCTTTAAGTGGAGTTCGATTAACTTTTTTAAAAATGACAGTGGAGAAACCTGTGATTTCGGGAATCAACATCAAAGTGAGTTGGCTGAAAATAGTCAATGTTTCGTCCTTAAATGAATTTGAAATTACCAGAAGAACTATTTTAATGCCCAAGATGGCCAACAGCTCCGGAATGCGATAGTTGCAGAAACATCAGATAAAAAAAGACTTACATATCCTCTTTAGTAAAATAAAAATGAGTGATTTCTCTATTGTACTTGGTTGAATGTAATCTCGTAAAAAATCTAAATAAACCGACAATGGATTTGGACGGAAAAAACTTTTAGACCGAAATTTTGTTCTTAATTTAGTGATAGTCCACAATCACTGCTTCTTTCGACTTCACACGGAAGACAATCCTAACGACCAGATGTTCAATTTCTCTGCTGCTTTCTTTCTTTCGGAACACTGGGTGTGGTTGGCTTTCTGCAACTCGAAAACACAGTCTTCGCTTTGCATTGCGCGGATTATTCGACGGTTTCCAAACTAATTTCGGTTCTTTTTAGGATCGTAATTGCAAAAAAGGAATGCAGTTAACCCAATCAATATATTTCTGTCTGCGATCTAAGCACTTTTTGCCACAAAAACGCCAAGTTATTGTAGAATACAGTCCAGAAATAATGGGGTTTTTATTGTGTTCCGAATTTCACGAATGATTTTTTGTTACAGAGTTCTCAGAACCGTCTCCTGATCAAAAATGGCAGGGTTGTCAACGACGATGGAATGGAGGATGCTGATGTGTACATTGAAGACGGAATCATCAAGTAAGATTATTTTTATATAAGTGTTTTTAATTTTATTGACCAAAGAAACGAGCAACATGGAAAGCGACAGTGTATCAGTACAGCTTTCTATAATATCACCTGCTAAAGGGCAACATAAAACCTCATTTCACTTCTATTTTACATCAAGCTTATCTATGTATATCTTTATCTTATAAAAATCTCGTGTCACATTGTATGATAACGAACTCCACCTAAACGGCTTCACTGATTTTTATGATTATTTTTGTTTATATTTGGTAGGTATGAGAAAAGGGAATTTCAGAATTGTTTGGACAACATTTATTTTATGATTTGGCATAAAATCAAAACAATACTTATTACTTATAGCCTAAGTTCGAAGTTAGATGGGTCAGCTGGTAGGTATACTATTTATATTAGGTAGGATAAAGTCGTTCATAGCATAAAAGAGATGCAGAATGAAAAATGCATGAACATATTTTAATCCAGTATAAATCTTGCTTCCGTGGCTACACTTCAAAGACGCCACATTTGGAATTGATCCATATCAAGAGCTATGTTTCCGGAAAACTTATTCCGTCCTAAAGTGTCTAGAAACAATGGTAACAGAGGGCCAGTTGAACGCCTAAAATAATGCCTTCCGAACGAATTTTGTAACTTTTTCTTTTGCTGATGAGATGATAGTGTTGTTTTTGATCGTGTCTGTGGTTCTAATAAAACATTATATGGAGCAGATCAGCGAGAGCCAGAGTTGTATTTAAGATAATTACAGGTAGGGCATATAGGGTAGCAGGGACGTGACGTTCTTCGCAGCCTGCTGCCTCGTTTCAAGGACAATGGTATTTAAGGGAGGGCATTGCCGCGTAATGGCCTCCCCAGTTATGGCTCTGGAAAAAATTCTATGCAGTGGAAAGACGTACCTGAATCTAGTTCATCGAAGTGGCATGATAGAATTTTGTGTTGTCTCGTTGCTGTCAAATTTAGCCAACATTCCGGCAATGTGGGTCATGATTGCCTTACTCTACTAATTAATTCTTCTGTTTATTTTTTTCTTCCATTCAATGGTGATTTATAAAATGATGTTTAGAAGTATACAATCGTCAAGTATTTCTATTGAATCGTGCTTTGTTTATGTTTGTTAATAAACGGTTTATTATTGATACTCCTATATCATAGACATTGTTAACGTCTCATTCATTGTTAACATGTTGAGATTGTCTTGTATTGTCCTTTTTAATTGAGTACCTTTACTATGGTTCAATTTCATTTTATGGATATGATAAATATGGATTTCGATCGAATAGTTAAGTCACCTTTAAAATTAGCTTTTTTTTTTGTTTAATGCTTAATAGGCATGGTGTTTGACCACAATCTCGCCTGATGGAAAGCGATGATGAGGCCTAGGATGGTACACGCCTGCCTAGAAGATGCCTGTTCACTCTGGCCTCTAGTTCTTGAATTTTAAGTGGCATTTCATACATAAATAAACCCATTTATATTTATGATAGATCAATCACGCAAGCAGTCGCGTGTATGTAAACGTCAGAGGAAGCATGTTTTGTTTTGTATCAGGTAAAAGTGCATGTTCCGCCACCATTGGGCCCATTCGCTTTCTTCGAGCCGTTATCGTCCGTTAATTATCACGCGATACCGGCTCAAACGATATCGCATTAAGAACTTTTTATTGACTCGCTTCGAAAGCGATATGTTGCATAAGATAATCGTATAGGTTATCTTATCACCGTATCAAATATATTCCGGTGATAATATCTGTAAATATATTAAACAGCTGTTATCTGGCTTTTTATACTCCTACGATTTGATCAAATCCGTCATTCGTACAATTTGAAGACTACTGTTTGAAATAACTACACAGTGTCACATTACAAATAAGTATTTAAAAAATCTAATTTCTTTTCTGATTTGCATTAATATTGCAAACGATTAAAAAAAATAGGTTTTTCAATGCTGATGTATGTCAAATACAATTTTATTTTAATGATCGCCATAGGAAAAGAATATTATGAGTTTTGCTATTATATAGCTTTATGTTTAACTAGAGGTCCCCCGCGGTTTCACCTGCGTTAATTTGAGGAAAAACGTTATAGTGAGTCAAACTTTAAAAATGGACATATGCTGTCGCGGATTTTTTAAGAACTTCTGCTATGTTTACAGGATTTTGTGTAACTTTAACTGTTTATGTAGCGCATGCAACGGAAGCTCTCAATATAAATATATGTATATATTTTCTCCGTTTTTGCCACAGGTTTTTGCAACATCTTAGTGTATTAGTAGTGTGATTTTTAACGGACGAAAAAAACGGAGGAGGTTCTCAAGTTGACGCGTATAATATATATTTATGTTTACCACACATAATTTTTTACAGAGAAGTCCGATTTTGATAATACTTTTTTTGATTGGAAAGGGTATACCCCGAAGTTAGTCCCATATGAATTTGGAAAAAAATCCAAACCTTAGGGTATAAAAACAGGGGATGATTGATTGTTCACTCACTGTTAGTAATTTATGACCACACATAACTTTTTACAGAGTAGTCTGATTTTGATACTACGTTTTTTTTAAAGAAGATATGTCAAAGTTGGTCATTAATTAACAACAAATACAATCCTTAGGGTGGGAATATAGAGGTGATTGTTCACTGACAGATTTTAATGCCGAGTTGTATAATACAAAAATTATAACCACAATTATTTATTTAAATATATTTTTTTTACAAAAAAATTAAAAAGCCGCCGAAAAGTAAAAAATAGTAAATCTATACTCAAATTAATATTTGGAGTCGGTGCCCGGTGCCATGCAAGTCTGATAGATCTGAGTTCCTATTTACTACTTGGGTTGGCCTGGCACTGGCACCGACACCAAATATTAATTTGACTAAAGATAAAAAAGGTTTACCTTCAGTCAAATTAATATTTTTATTATTTTCGGCGGTTTAATTATTTTTTATAACCTATAGCCTTCTTCCATAAATGCACTATCCAACAAAAATAACTTATCATATCGGGTCAGTTCAGTAATGCCTGAGAGTCGTTCAACCAAACAAACAAACTTTTCAGCTTTTTAATTTAGTATTGTTTTAGTATAGATAATAGTATATAATACCCCAACTTTGCTTAACGATACGGAAACTAACAGTTTTCTAAAGTTAAACCATTCAGTAACATATTCCCAGTTTGGTTAAAACCGATGGCTCAGTTAGTTCAACAGTTGCATTGTCAATAAGGCTCTTCCTTTTTACGCAGTTAGATTAACTGTTCGGCGACACGCTTGCATTTATGAGCACACATTAAATGACTTTGTCGAGTCCGTTGATTGATAGACGTTTATTAACTGAGGCCCAAGCACGAACTTTGACAGCTCGGTTATCGTATCGCATCGTCAAAGTTTATATGGAAACTTAGTAGCGCCCCTAGCGGACGTAAGAACAAACTGGCTCCTACCATACACAATTTGACGATGACGATATGATCACTGTTAAAGTTCGCGCTTGAGCTTCTGAACGCCAAAAATATCAGTTGTAGCATGTTCTATATTTTTCTTTCAACCCCTAATCCAACATAGTTTTAAAAAAATCATGTTATTGCTGAAATATGACACGGCTAGTATGTATCTAAGCTAGGCGCATAAGTAAGTAAATTTATTATTTGTCTACTTAATAAAAGCGAAGGATATAGCGGGTTTTCCGCTTCGTCCTCGTACCTAAGATGGCATGTAAAATAATACTACCTTTTGTTTAGTAAGTAAGTTTCTGGGGCTCCACGGATTGTAAGATTAGGTTCAGGTAGCTAATGATGGCTCGAGAGGCACATTTTTCTACCGCATCAGTTATCGTCGTAGGTAAACTCCACTTACAGGTGGAGTAGGGTATTTTACTGCACCTTGTATAATTAAAGTACTATACAAACAAACCAGCTAGGCAAACTGATCGTTTTATATCGTATTATTTTGAGTAGGACGTTACTATTGACATTAAGTACTGACAGTACTTCCCCTGACGCGTCGTAACTATTATGGGCGCACCCGATGCGGATACAAAGGAAGTTTGCAATGAGTGTGTCCGTGTCGCATAAAGCGGTATAAATATATATTATGAAGTGTTAGAGGTAGGTAGGAGGGAGAGAGAGGGAGGTAGGAGGTGTAATGGTACATGACATAATAATTAATATATTACGTTACGACGTCTTCAGGAATGGCATACGTACGACAGGATAATTAGCGAATACTTGTACTTTCATATTACTACGATTTTTTTAAAGTTAAATAAGTGTTATGTTTTTATTTTTTAAGCATTTAACTGCTAGATGTTTAAATATAAATAAAAGTTTGCTAGAAAAAATTCCACGCGGAACAGGCAGCAGACGGGACTCGAACCCTTTGCTATCCGGGCAAATGCACTGACCATTATGCTACCGCGGACCTGACGACCGTGTCGAATTTTCTCTAGCCTTAGGCTGCAAGGCTGTCTGGTCCGCGTGGATTTTTTTCTAGCAAACTTTTCTTTAGATTTAAATAAGTGTTTTTAAACAAGTATTTGGCCCGCCTGATGGTTGGTAAGCCGGAAAATCCGCTTTGCCCTACCTCTCTTAGGTATGTAATCAACCAGGTTCCGGTGGGCTCACCGGACATGGCTATGTGAAATGATTTTTAGTCATGAAATGAGTTCACCAGGACATCCAGAACCGAGTGTTTTTTTTTAGTAAAATTTTCTATTTAGATATAAGTCGTGCAGTTAAACCCCTATAATAACCTAATATCATTGAGGTTCGTCTTAAGTTGTATATACAATACGAGTATTAATCTCAAACTTTACCGTTTCCCCGTGATCTTATAATTTATTGAATCCGTTGTTGATTATTACATTTTTTTACAACCATCGTCTAAATAATTTCTTTAGCCGTATACAGAAACGTCAAATTAATTTTATGCTTCATAAATTACGTATTGTCTCATTCTTTTTTAATACATTGCAACATAAAAGTTGATAGACTACTGTGACTGCA